TGATAAAATGATGACATTTTCGGATGCTTATCACCACTTACGTATTATTTTTCATTTAATTGGTTTATGAAATGAAATCTTGTACTGGGGTTTATATAATCTGTCATTTGTAATACTTAGCAATAACGCTACTTCTACATATAATATAGCTATTGATGTATGAAATTCCTAAAGCAAACAACCGCATTCTCCTGCTTACGATCTTTTTTTTTTTTTTACTTTTCATTTTTTAAATCAGTTGAGCCAAACTGAGAATAATATAAATGTCGACACTATTCCTTTATGTTTTGATTGAGTCGCTTTTACGGTGCTTGTTATTATATAGTTTATATAATTGTTAATTTGGAGCAATATCGTTTAAAGTAGATTGTTTATAATAATATTTCACAAATAAATTGTCCTGAATTATCGTATTCGCCATGTCAGTTTGCAGAAAAATGAATCCGGTTTCTAATTAAAACATAGAAAATAATTTTTAGAGTTTCTTTCGATTATGTTCCATATTCTAAACTTTGTTACGTTTTCAAACCCCATATTTTGTTGAGAATTCACAGAAAAATTAGATATTGCCAACGAATTTTCTGTCAGCGAACTTTGAAATCAAACTGATAAAATAGTTTTAATGGGTTTTAATTTTTTTTTTGAAAGCTGATTAACATTTCGATATTAACTTTTTTGAAGTTAACATGTTAGGTTTTTTTTCTAAAATCTACTGTTGTGATTCTGAAAACAGACTACTTGTAAGGTTTAAGTCATTTTTAATTGATATTATCAAATAACGTTTACTTCCTGAAAAATGTAATTAAAATGATCCAGTAAGTGATCTTTAACTTTAAAACCTTATCATTTCGACGTCAAAATCTTTGTAAGATTTACTGCTTAAATTAAAAAGTGATGTTAATTACGAAATTAAAGTATTTTTAATTATTTGTCGGCAGAAAACTGAACTGAAAATTATTAAGAACTATCAGTTATTACTGGTCAACATTTTAATGATAACCTTTTTTAAGCTCTATTGTTGTAATAACTAAGAGGATGTTACCTGTAAAATTTCAGTCATTTTCAATTGATATTGTCAAATTAATTTGCAGATATAGTAAATTTTATCACTATCATTCACAACAAAAAATGAGTTGTTATATCTGGTATGTTAATTTTAAGTAAGATAATGTTAATTTAGAATCTCACCCAATTTTACATTGTCAGATTCACTTGTGTCGCAATAACTAATTAACATCACATATAATAAATAAATACAATAAAATCCATAGGTTCTAAATTAATATTGTTTCACTCGAATCAAAACTAAAATATTCGACTTTTGCGGTTGACAAGAAATCTAAAACTGGAATGAGAAATTTCGTTAAAGTAATAACAAAGAAAAAAACTTCTTACGCTGAAATCTAAGGTTGCATAATGTAATTCACAATCGCGAAAGAATCATATAAAACAGTTTTATTTATCTATTTATTTATTTTAAATCTAAGGTTGCATAATTTGCTAAGTGAAGATAAGAATCTTACTGCAGTCAAATTATTAAATTCAAATAATCAGCAAGAAATTTACTATCTGAGCTGTCAGGAACAAAAAAATATTAAAAAAGGACAATGGCTATTTCCCTACGTTAACGCAGTCACAGAGGCCAGAACCAAAACCAACATTCATCCTCCAATTTGTCTAGAAATTTTCAATTGTTAACGGAGTATGTGCACTGCTTAATACATTGAAAATTACTTCTTATTCTACACAAATCTACTTGCAAACATTTTAAATTCTAATAATCTCCTATTAAAATAGTCATTCTTATCAGTTGATAGGAAACTTAAGGATTTAAATGAATCGAATTAAACGAGAGAGAAGAACTAACATAGATAAAGGATTAAATTCTCACATAGTGGGCATCAGCAAACAACAAATACATGATTATAGTGAATAGTTGTCTATCAGATGACCTTTACTAGAGATCTCACAATCGTAGACTTTCAAGTTCAGCATACTATTGCTATAGTATTGTGGTTGCTAGCGAATAAGGCCGTTACGATAGACTATTTCTCGACACATTCATTTATACCAACTCCAAACCATAACCAATAAAGGCTTCCTAACAAATATTTACGATTTTTCGACAAAATCACTTTTACCCGAAGCCGATTAACGTCAATTTCCCATATTTTACGGACATTACGACATATGATTGTCTGAAAACTGAAGAAAATTATAATATAAAAGTGAAGACAAGAAAGGTTTTAGATAAACTATTTCCTAGATGAAAGATTCATCACACTATAAAATAGATTAACTCCAACGTTTACCCCTATACAGTGATGAGTGTTGTCTAATAAATCGTGTAACATGCTAATCACGTAAGAAAAAACCTTTATCTTTTATACCAATCCTATTCATTATTTGAGCAAATTACATAAATTCTAATCTTGCATAATCTACGTCTATAACATTCTAGTTAAGTGTTTCGATTCATTAATTAAAATTTTCTAAATTGGAAATTCTACTGCATTATCTTCATCTCCAGATCACTATACTATCTTACGATTTAGTATTTGCTTATTTGCAGTGTTGTCAATAAACTAATAATCCAATTTGTCAAGCGATTCAATTCAAAGCACGTAACTTTTCCTCTTTTCATTATACCAAACTTTCATTAAGTTGCACCGACCTTTTTACGACAATGACTTCATAAATTTAGATCAAAAACCAGTGGTTAAGCATAATTAAAAATTAAAATAAAGAGACTGATTAGTGGTTCTCCTAAACTCTATAATTATGCAAATACGAGATTTGAAGTAACACATCTCTGATAACAGAAAGAAATAATAGAGAGGTTATATTGAAGAAAAATAGAAGTTTTTATATTAAAATAATGTAAATTCTATTGAACAATCAGTGCTTTTTTCAATAGATCAATTTTTAATATTGAGTGGGTTAGATAAGTTACTGTGATACATTTTGACAACCAGAAATTCAATTTAAAAAGAGAAAATATAACTACAGCAATTTCAAACTAAAGTTGTTCATAATTTTTAAAAATCAAAAATACAAGAGACTGTTTTAAAAGCAGAAGTGATAATCCCGAAGAAATCAGAATGATTCAAAAGACATTATAAAATTAATACAGAAAGAAACGTATGGGCCAAAGAAAATTCAGTTTTTGATTAAATAACTGATGGTCTGTCTACCCATGAGATTATTAAGAAGTGTTTATATCGATTTCCACTTCACCATGCCAAATGTCCAGTTTTTTTAACTAATTATTATAAAAAAACTGATTAGCTTTATAAATATTGTAAAATAAATGTATATCCAAGCCTTTGCATTTTGAAGAGAATAGCACGAACCATTCTTTTTGTCTATGCTCATTATAACAGACGATGAGTCTTTTTTCATAGTAATCTTACTGCCTGTACTCTGTTTTCATATTCATCAATATTTTCTTTATCATCGCATGGTGATAATATACAAAGTTTTGTCCATCGCTGTCCTCATTGATGTAACTGACATTTTTTACCAATTTTAAAAAGATCTTTTCTTAGCTTATCTTTAATCGCAATTTAAAACCAACTGAAACAATCTGTGTGAATATGGCTTATTTAACACATCATTTTAGCAAATTTATTTTTTTACTCTGTTCTAATCAACTTTATTCTGTCGAACACATAATACGGTAAATGATCTGTCATCCATCAATCTCGTTGCAATGAATTTTCACCTTACAAAGAAGAGAAAACAAAAGCAATAATTGCTGCTGAGTTATTCTCAGTGCAATGCATATATCATTCAGAAATGTTTAGTCAAAACGAAAATTGTTTTGTGTATCCCTCCACAGCTTCTTTTCAATTTTTTTATTTTTCTTTTCACAGATTTCTCTACCTTGCTTTGTTTGAACTATTTACTAACACCCTGAAACATTATTAGCATAGAAAATTTGCTTTTTTTTTAATACATGAAATGAAGGACTTTTGCAAACGGTCCGTAATTGGTTGGAAAATGGTTTATAATAATTTGTAATTTGCAATAGATGGTTTACATTGGGATTTTCCTGACCCCGCTACTACTTCGTGACTCAATTAACTTCAAATCATAATTTTAATTGATTTAGCGAGGAATGTTCATATACATACGAATTTAGTGCCACACAAAAGCAACACACACACATGCATTAAACCAAGAAGAGATCATTTCATCTTTAAAGATATCGAAAATGCATAAATCATGTCACTTCTTTAACATATTATAACTTTTATCTACATCTTTTGATATCAAAACATAAGAATTGTGATCATATTCAATGAAAAGTAATAAGAAGTGTGGAGAAATTTATAAAGGCCTCTAACAAATCTGCACAGTTTGCGAGACCTTCCCAGCACTCTCATAACATAAAAAATTGGAGATGAAAAACACAAGTGAATGTCTATTATCATACAAGTAATAATAATGCAAAAACAGCAAAATAAAAAAACAGGAAATCATCAGGTAGGTAATTACTTCACAAACTGTCTTCAACTAATAGCCAGCGCATCATTTACAAGCACTAAGGACATGCAGTATTGCTTGGACAGCGTATCTTACAAATGCAAAACACAGATAGAGAATTATTTCAAAATATACATTGCTTAGAGTAAGTGAAAAGAATGAATTGGAGAGTAAGGTTCTGTGGTCTTTCCAATAAAAGCCAATACTGAGGAGAGGTAAACAGTGAGTTAATAGTGATTGTGGATAATTATTAACTGTCTAAAGATATATAAGAGAACCCAGAGAACCACATAATATTAAAGGAATAATGGAATTACTTAATTTTTCCGCATTTGATAAAAATCACTTGCTTCTCCGATATTCCATTCAATGCATCCCAACAGATACTCAAAAAAAAAAAAAGTTGGTTGAATGCGGAGGCTAAATATATTTTCATTTGCACTACAAAAATCGAAAACCGTAGTGGAAAGTATGATAAATAAAATTCTGAACATGAAAAGCATCCGAATAAATCATAAGAGAATCAATTCTTCCATAATCTGAAAGATGCAGTAAATATAACTTATGTACCAGAAAAATAAATTTTGGCGTTAAACAAGCACTAAAATAATAATAACTATATATAATGCTTATAGCCAACAAAAATTAAAGTGAGATGAAATTTAACTTCCTTATTTTCTTATTTAATAAGAAATATTGTTCTTCATAAACAGAAAAATTTAAAAAAAAAATAAGCAGAAGAAAATTACATAAACAGAAGAAACAGAAGAAAATTTAAACACCTTGATAAGATTGTCCAGTCCTACAAAATATCCATCTTCATGATTACCGAAAATCCATTCTCGCCTGTGGTTTACTGAGTCTATTTCCATTGGAATCGATTTGGCAAAATCAATCATCCATACATTAGCTAATGTTGCATCATACATTAATAGTAATGAACTACCAATAACCTGCAATAATACATCTCACAAAAAAGAAATTACTCGATATCGTAAATAAAATTCGGATATCCCCAATCATGGCACTGATCACGACTTTCATATCTTATTTTGAAAATATGTTTTCAAGTGCATAATGTAAAGTTAACAAAAGAAAATTTTCTTAAATACTTCATGAGTTCGGAAAAAAAGCGATTTTTGAACAGCTTCTCGTAATCTTTGCAGGCGTTGAAGAATATGATAACCCGCTGTTGATATGTGTTGTCCAAAAAACTCCACTAATGTTTTCCTGATATCTTCATGTGTTTTTATCTTCTTGAAACTTTTTTGCAAAACTCCACCTGGCATCTGAAAGATAATATATTCCTTAAAATAACCTTGCAAGTTGCAAAAGAAAAGTTTATTTTCCAGAAACTTGTGAGACACCTTATCCATACAATTTAAAAACCACAATTAAAAACTAACTTTTGCAGCCTCAATCCTGTAACCTAATGTCGCAGTAGAACTTTTCTTCTCTCGAAACTGCATGTAACGCATTTTCGTTATAGCTTTAGTAGCATGTTCTTCTTCTGTAGGCTCATAAGGATCCAATGAAACCATTTTTTCATACAAATCATTTCGTACGATTTTACTGTTAAGCTCAGATTCCAGAAAAGTTCTGGAAAAATTTAATAATGCACTTTAAGGGAACATCTTATTCAAAAGACTCAAAAGTGCAAAATGAAAAAAGAATAATTGAATAAATATATTTATAATGGTTCTCAACACTTTACCTGGTTCCCATCTTGATATCCATTATCGCTGGGTCATCAAACAGAGCTGTGAGATCTTCAATTTCGATAAAAGCTGCAACATCATATCATTTGTATAGTACACAACAAAATTTTGAAATCAGTGGTCATTTTGTAAGGATATTTGCTCTGTGTTATGAAACAACGAGTCAACTAATTGTACACTATCAAATGTCCTCCACCAAAAAAAGCTTAAATCAAATAAACCACGAAACCATGCAACGAGAAAGCCGAAACATACGAGTAAGATTCGAAATTCAATCAATAGTACGACCTCCCAAGCATTTGTTCTTGAATGCACAACATTTTTTTCTCCTAATGAAGACAAAAAAGCATAAACTTCCAAGAACTAACAATCATTTCCATATTCGACTTCTCTGTAATATCGAGGCACAAAAGCTTGCAATGCAGAATCGTTCATTAATGCACGATACGCATTACTTTCGTTGCAACCGCTGTACGATCGTTTCTTCCATAGCGTTTTATCAGTTGCCGGAACTATTGTTCCTGCAAATTTGAGGGAAGTATTCCATAAATTAGAATAGAAGAGTAACAGAAGAAGGTAATGGTCTGAAAGACAATACAGAGTACAGCGAGACACTACAAAATGCAATGGTACGGTAATCATCGCCCAAGGTATAAGATGGAAGGAGAGGAGCAGAGAAGAGGAATCGAACCTTCGTGTCCGGACAGCTGCACCCACTTGTTCAAGCGCTCCCTGAGCCAGCAATTCACCGGCAGTGCTGTTATTGCCATCGTATCCACCAACCCCTAAATTGAACTTTTCATCTCGAAGTTCAGCCAATTAACCCTCCCCTCCCTACACCAACCACTCCATCTCCTCTTTCACCTTTCACCACCTACACTCACTCTCTTCAAATCGCAAACTGAATTCTTGCCACCTCATCCTTTCTATCTCTCTGTTACTACGCATTGCTCCACGAGATTTGTTAATCTTCGCTTTCTCTTCACAAAATGCACTATTTCTTCTAAGTGAGTCAAAGCGAAAAGTGAATTCGTCGAGACTTTCTGAATTGAATGACAGAATATTAAATATGGATGATGATGATGATGCATTTGTTTGTAGCTTGCATCTTTCGTTGGTCACTATGGTAGTGGTCACTACGGTCGAGAAAGAGTAGGTAGATGTACAAAGGAGACAGCAAACATTTTAGTATTTGAAATATTTTTAAGAGACTCCTAACCTTATACATTCTTTTGGTTTTCAAGATATATCCATCTATGTATAATGTATTCAGCTTTTAATATAACTATAATTTATAAATGATTAATAACTTATTTAAAACTTTTCAGTCGTAGAAATTGTTGTTGTAATGATCTCAACAATTGAGAATACTTCGTTTGTTACATCATAATGCAATCTTCAATTTTAATTCTTTGCAATTCACTACTGAAGACACGATCAAAAGAAATACTAAGTGAAACAGATGATTTCTTGCTTCCTCCTAATTAAATATGCAGATGTGGGAAAAGTATGATAACTGATTGCTCTACAATAACAGGTAATTATTATTATTATTGTTATTATTTTTATTATTATTAGTTAATTAATTATTACTATCAATTACTAGTGTCAGTTATTATTGTCGATTATTATTATAAATTGTGGTAAGTACTTAGTAAAAATGAAAAAGCCATTCTAGTATTTTTATCAAGAAAGCTTACCAAGGCGAATTTCTCAGTTGCACTGTTCCGCGGTTTCTTGATTGCGATAGCCATCTTATACCCATTTTTATTTATTTTTATCATCTAAACTATATAATGAGCTCTATGTTTTACAAGTTCTGAATTACTATAATCAATTAATTTATTAACAAAAGGTCGAATTTCACCCAGCAATGGTTTAGGACTGGGACTAGTTCGAATAGGTTACTTTTGTATTGTGTATCTACTTTGGTTTCATTTCGGCATCATCACAGGTCTAAGGGAGAGCTAAAAGCATATCAGTTTTGAATGAGCACTGGAAAATTATTAAATTATCAGTTTTTTCTGGAAAAAAATTATCAATTATCGGTCTGCGAGAAATTATCAAATATTTGTAATGCTGGTGGTATGATCCCTTTTCTTTTTCGTGCTTTGGAACTATTAATTGGTTCTCTGATTCTATCCAGTTTTTGTAAATGAATTAATTTATTATCAAAATAGTTATTTATGGTAGAGGCATAGTTTATAGTTTTCATCAGAAGTACCTCCAGTATTTCTATATTATTTTTTGTTTTGAAGCTTTTAACTGAAACAGAACGATTTTATTACCAGATAAAAGAATTATGATCAGAATTTCTAGCTAATGTCCTTGTTTCATGGATAAGCGCAAACTTTTTAATGCCTTTGTCCTTTTCCCTTTTTATTATTCTCATGAAAATCTGCTTTTATTACTTCTAGTCCTAGAAAGACGTACAAATTACTTAATTCAAGGTATTAGAATCTCGTTCTTCAGGTTTTGCCTCAGTTAGAAAGCCATGGAATATATTTTAATGCCCATATGATAATAATAACCCTGTAATTGCTCCATTTTAATTCCTGTTAATAAAAGTCACCGAAGTGGAGTTAATCCTTCCCTCACTGTTTAAATCGATGAAGTACTTTGAAATACAAATTATGGAAATGAATATTTGAATGAATAAGAAGGATATAACCTTATAATTGCTGCTAACGGAATCTGAGACCGTTCCGACAGTATTGTTATATCCATACACTTGAACTGGATTCGTGATATGACAATCCTCCTTACCACTGCAGCTAAATGATCGGTCATCCCTATTCAGCCGTCTATTTAATAGAACGTAGCATGATTTTGTTTTGAGGTCATTGGAGAAACAACAATTTGCCTGGATTTGAGTTTTTAAGTACTTCTTCCCTAGACTGTTTTTGCTTATTATCAGTTTAAATTCGTTGTAATTTCAAAAATTCCTGATCAGTGAAATAAAACATTAATTCACAAGGAATTTTCAAATTTGTCCTGATGAAAAGGTGGAAATTATTCTACCAAATTTCTAACTGAATTGAAAGAAATGCCTAATATAACCTTTGTAATAGAATCGTGTGAGAGGTGTAAATATGATACGTAATCAACGGAAGCATCATTATCACTCTTCATAACATAGTTTGCTGTCTTTTCTTTCTGTTGTTGCAATTCAAAATTTGAAGTCATTGAATCATTCAATAAATTGGTTGATGCCAAAGAATCTTTTGATATTTCTCTACATTTTGATTTCACTCTTCGAGTATTTCTAAAATGTTCATTCAAATGTTGTGAATTTGTTCTGAAACGGTATTCAATCTAAAACTCAAATCAATTGAAGCAATTTAACATTCAAATAAAATTCTGAGATCAAATTCATCTACGATGACTGCCTTTTCACTAATAAGTGTCTTTCTGATACAACAGCTCTCTCTGAACTTCTTCTTCTTAGCAGTGGTGATGGTAGTAGGTTCATAGAAATCATCGAAACTTTGTTTATTCTGATACCATAGACATCGGAAAAGTTTCGAAGTACTGCCGTTTAGTTCGCCTGCCCGGCTCTGATCACTTCCCATTTAGTCTGAAATAGTGATTCAGTTTGTAAAAACTACTAATTTATATCTTTCACACTACAGATAACATACAATTTTACCTAGGTAAAAATGAATTGTTGGAATGTTTTAAGATATCTTTGTATCAGTCAACGGTTTATGTTCATCTACTTGATCCTTAAATTCATATGACAGCTGCTGATTTCTTCAAGGTTTGAACTCACTAATCAAGCCTGATAGTTATTTTGAGCAGTAGACCAAGTGAGTGAAATGGTATCTTTTCTTCTGTCTGAGATTCTGCAACTGTAATCACAATGTAAGCCACTTTTCCAGACAGTTGTCATAAGCGCAACAAATAACTTTATTAATAATATTAAGGAGTATTTTTGTAAAAAAATAATAATTCATACATTTGAATATATTGATTTCGCGAATATTAGCCGAAAGGAGTCAGAGAACGATTTTGGCTTAACAGATTAAAAAATATTAGTGTATTTTATGTTTGAGCAACTGTCATCATAGATATCAATTGATTTTCTGGTATTTGCGTTGTTTACACTTCTATATTAAATTTTCAACAGCATATAAAATATATTCGTAGCTGACATGAACTTCAATTATTTCTCAATTCGACATTCCTCTCTTGCATCTCTCTTGCATCACTGTAGTTTCGTTGTACAGACTGTATCAGACAAAAAAATAATTTCGCATTTATTGAAACAGCTACAATTTTCAACAGTATGATTATCCATTTCCAGTGTGATATTCGGAAGTTTCTGTCCAGATCAGGAAACGAAGAATAGATAGTGCCGCTGCTTTGCAGTTTTCTATGTTCCTTTTCAAATTGCTCATCTACACAATTAATGACACCATCATTACATTCCGATCATTGCAACCATTTCATAATTTCAGATTCAAGAGCTTTTGTGAATAAATAATAATACGAGTTCTACAGGAAGTTTGGGCCATCAACGCTGACTCTCTCAATTTACTGACTGCAAGTAAAAATGATCAAATTGAAAAAATATTTGTGAAAATAACTGTTATTGATGGGTAACATATTTGACTGACTATCCGCTTCTATTCAGTTCTACTTTTTTAAATTTTAAATTGAAAAGCATTTTAAATTGAACATTGGAAGTTTGGTGGATTTATTTCCCTAAGGTCCGTCTTCTCTACCAACAAAAAAGTCTTTCATTTCTTTGTCTCAATTTTTTTCATGTTTTCAAGGAAAAGGCTACGTTTGATCAGAGATTAATACATTTTAAATTGTCTTGATCTGATATGATATAACTACAAAAGTTAACAATTCACTCACGCATGCTATCCTGGAAGAAAAAGCATTTATTAAGGTTTCCATCAATGATTAGCGACTTGCTAACGAACTAATCACACAGAACTGAACTGACAACTGATTAATCATTTTGCATAATACTTCATTCGATTTCTGTATTGCATCCCTTATTCAAAATGCTTACTCTTAATTAAATAAATCATGCAAATTTGTTAAAGGAAAGAAACTAGGCTAAATGCATCATGACTGCTATTTTGGTTGAGCCCTAGCTAGTAATGAAGATTATGCAGAAATAACCAAAAAATATTGACATTTTAAAGCAAGAAAGAAAAGAAAGTGAACTCGTTGAAAAATAAATGTAACATTCTTTAAACAAATGAAAAATCATCAGCATTTTCGAAGCTGTCGTAAAATATGTACAAATTACTTATTACAACAGTATCACTTCACTGAAGTTCTTTTTGTTATAAAAGAAGCACTTATTTAATTTTCATTTTATTTGATGTCAACACATGGGCAGTTTGAAAAACTTTTAAGATTCTTTTACTATTGGCAATGTCAGAATAAATTAATTTATAACGATAACTGAGTGAGATCAACACTGACATTATTAATCTTACAAATTCACACCATGTTCATCAACAGTTTAGGAGAATAATCATCATCTTCATAATCAGGTGTGCCTAAATATGTTTATTAATCATCTTTAATTCCTTGTTATATCATCGTTTTCGGACAGCACCTCTTTCAGTAATCGAATTGTTGTTATCGCTGTGATGGGATGCAGATGACGAGCAACTACTTGTCGTTTGTTCCAACGTGCTCGAACTCGCCAACTTCTGTTCACGATCCGTAAATGGTTCATATAAATTGAATCTGATTAAAAATATTTTTAAATACACGTAGAAAAAAGTAAATATGTACATTA